TTGATACCCAAGCCAAACAAAGACACAACTAAGAAAGAGAACTTCAAACCAATATGCCTCATGAACATTGGTGCAAAATTACTCAATAAAATACTGGCAAATCCAGCACTCAGGAGGCAGAGGCAGGTGGATCTCTGTGAGTTCGAGGCTGGGCTGGACGGATAGCCTCCAAAACAATACAGAGAAACCCTGTCTCGTAAAAAAACAAAAAAAAAATCCAAAAAAAAAATACTGGCAAATCGGATCCAACAACACATCTGAAAATTTAGCCACCCAAAATTACTCAATAAAATACTGGCAAATCGGATCCAAGAACACATCTGAAAATTTAGCCACTATGAACAAGTAGGCTTCATCCCAGGCATGCAGGGATGTCAATATACAAAATCCATCAATGTAATCCACCATATAAACATGCTGAGAAACAAAAATCACGTGACCATCTCATTGGACGCTGAAAAATCCTTTGACAAAATCCAACACCCCTTCATGATAAAGGTCTTGGAGACATCTGTGATAACAGGAACTTACCTCAACATAATAAAAGCTATATACACCAAACCAACAGCCAACATCAAACTAAATGGACAGAAACTAAAGGCAATTCTTCTAAAATCAGGAACAAGAAAAGGCTGTCCATTCTCTCCATATCTCTTCAATATTGTACTTGAAGTTCTAACTAGAGCAATATGACAACAAAATGAGATCAAGGGGATACAAATTGGAAAGGAAGAGGTCAAACTTTCACTATTTACAGATGATATGATAGTTTACATAAGTGACCCAAAAAACTCCCCCAGGGAACTCCTGCAGCTGATTAACACCTTCAGCAAAGTGGCAGGATACAAGATCAACTCAAGAAAATTAGTAGTCCTACTATATACAGATGATAAAAGGGCTGAGAAAGAAATCAGAGAAGCATCACCCTTTACAATTGCCACAACAACATAAAATAGGTTGGGGTAATGCTAATCAGACAAGTGAAAGACCTGTATCTCAAGAACTTTGAGTCTTTAAAGAAATAAATTAAAGAAGCCCTCAGAAAATGGAAAGATCTCCCATGTTCTTGGATATGTAGGATCAACATACTAAAAATGGCAATCTTACCGAAAGCAATATACAGATTCAATGCAATCTCCATTAAAATCCAAACACATTTCTTTACAGACCTTGAAAGAACAATAATCAATTTTGTATGAAAAAAAAATAAAGACCCAGGATAGCTGAAACAACCTTATTCAACAAAGCAACATCTGGAAGCATTGCCATCCCTGACTTCAAGCTCTATTATAGAGCTGTAGTCCTGAAAACAGCTTGGTATTGGCACAAAAAAAGACAGGCAGACCAATAGAATTGAATTGAACACCCTGATATTAACCCATACATGTATGAACATATGATTTTCCATAAAGAAGGTAAAAACATACAATGGAAAAAAAAGAAAGCATCTTCAACAAATGGTGCTGGCATAACTGGATACTGGCATGTAGAAGAATGCAGATAGATCTATGTCTATCGCCATGCACAAAACTTAAGTCCAAATGGATCAAGGACCTCAACATAAATCCACCACACTGACCCTGTTAGAAGAGAAAGTGGGAGGCACCCTTTAACTAATTGGTACAGGAGACTGCTTCCTGAACATAACTCTAGTAGCTCAGACAGTAAGATTGACAATAAATGGGACCTCCTGAAACTGAGAAGCTTCTTTAAGGCAGAGGACACAGTCAGCAAGACAAAAAGACAGCCCACAGAATGGGAAAAAATATTGACTAACCCCACATCTGACAGAGGGCTGATCTTCAAAATTCACAAAGAACTCAAGAAGGAAGTCTCCAAAGCACCAAAGGGTCCAATCAAAATATGGGATACAGAACTAAATAGAGAATTTGCAGAATTGGGGAAATTAAAATATGTACACCATACAATACACACATTTTTAGGATTTCAATGGACAACTGCTCTGAACTCTCAAAGTGCTGATTCTGTTATTGCATACCTATTAGAGGTAATGGCTATTAGCTGTTGAGATCTAATCACGCTTTAAAGGAAATGCTCTATAAATAGTTAGGGGCAATCAAGAACCCCCAAACAGATTACATAATACTTTACTAACTTTAAAGTTTCTTACTGCTAATGAGAAAGGAAAACAACCACAGAAAGACATTGGACAATAGAAAAAAAACTTCTGAGATAAATCAGTCCGTGCACTTCAAGGATATGTTGACCTCAGAATGGAAACCAGGATATGTGTTATGTTGGGGTAGGGGTTTGCCTTTGTTTCTACAAGAGAATAAAAACTTGGGATACCATCAAAGTTGATCAAGATCCAATTTGAACAGAAGAAACATCTTGATGACGATAAATGATAGGCCATACATCAAGGTAAATGCTACACCTTTATGGAGACTTCACACTTCAAGGTGAGGGAGGGATTCAGTACACATTGCCACAGTGCAGTCTTCATCCTCATTACACACACTAGTAACAAGCTCTTTCTGGATGTGCTTTCCTCTATGGAAGGATGATATGCCTTCCACAGCTGCTAATAAAACGGTTATTTTAAAATTGAACATCTTTGTGCTTCACAAACAGTTGGAGTAAAAGTTTATTCTCCATTGGATTCTTACAATTTCAAGAACTACCAGTCTATGTGATTTATAGCTAAAGCAACAGTAAGGATACTTTTGCTCAAAAACAACAGCAAAGATTTAAAATTTTATCAAGATTGAGAGACACAGAAAAAAATGATTGTGTTTAATCATACAAACAGCCTTTCCTGAAAGAATGGGCTTTTGGACTCCAACAGGGAGGAACTCTATTATCCTGGAGACAAGGAATAATGGCTGAGAATCTCCTATCTGACTCAGGCTCAGTCTCCATAGCGTCTGGTTAAAAGCAACAATGTGAGTGTGGGAATGTCAGAAACTGCACAGCGAGTATGGTCATATAGAAAAGACACTTGACTTCACATGAGAAGACTCAATTTGCACCTGACATTCCTATAACCTCTTACACTATACAACAGAAATCATACCTTTAAAGGCCCAAGAGGGGTAGAAAGAGTTGCCAGCCCCTGTTGCTAACTGATACTGTTATATTTTCCTTTGTTACTCACATTCTCCACGCAGTCCATAATGGTGGAAGGTAAGAAATGTGATGTTTTGTGCACAGGTGAATTGACGCCAGCTATATAATGGGACCAACACAAGAGACATGCCACTGGGTTCAGTAATGAATAAAAGTTACTACAGATAAAGTCAGCTTGAGAGTGACCTGATCCACAGCACAAGTTAACAGAGCAACAAAAAGTTAAAGTAACTTGCTGAAGGCCTCTTGGTGCAACAATAGCATGAATGTGAATGTGAACTAAATCTACATTTGTATCTTCGGTAACTACTTATAAATATGCATCTTCAAGTCCTTACTGAAGAGCTCCTCCAAGAGCCCTTGCTAAACCAATGAACACTTACTGATTAATAGTTTTCTAAATATGTGAGAAATAACACATGGTTTCTGTCATCAAAACGCCTGTATTCTGTTGCACAAGGAATCATAGACAGATACACAGAGGGCAACATAATAAGTTTGATAAAAAGGTAAGCAGGGTATTGTGGGCTATAGACTAGGAGCTTATACACACAGAGAGTTGCAAGCTTCCTGTGATGGATAGTGATTGTGGGAAATCGTATAAGATAAGAAGGTAACTAATGGCTTGGGACTGGAGAAGGAGTGAGTTGACAGAGAAGCAGGATATATGATGGAGAGACCAGTGGGCCTGAGACAGAAGTAGAAGAAACAGAGGAACTGAACTATCTCCAAGACTAAGAGTTGCAAGGTGCCACAGAGAGAAGGGATGCTAGGGAGACTGAGGCAGAAGGTGAGAGAAAAGATATATCCAGATTCTTGCAGTGTTGGTAGGTCTGAGTGGTAAATTCAAGGAACTCTTCTGTACTCTCTACTCAGAAGAACTGAGAACTTCTTTTCAACAGTGTTCCTTCTGCTGAGAATGTCAAGTATCCTGATTCCATCTCTTATACGTGTCTGCCTGTATTATAGGTTGCAATATTGATGAACTTTATCCAAATCCCTGATGAGAAGTCAGAACAGGGCAAAGAAGGATGTTGGCTGGAATTGCATACTCAGTTCTGGCTGTGCCCATGAGTAAGTATGGGTAAAAAACTTCAGCATACAAGGGAAGACAGAAAGCTCTATGAGAAAGCAGCAGCATAGAAATGACAACTAAGAGGTTATCTCCACTTCGCAATGTGAGAGAAGCAAATTTCTAACTGATCTCATGAAGATTCACAAGATATACCAGATAGCACCTTTAGACTAACATAAAGAAGGATTTCTAAAAGACAGAGGTACCCAGAAAGGGGGCACATCAACCTGGGGTACTATTTTTATAATATTCAAGGTGCCACAGCAAACTAAAACAGACTGGCTAGCTACAAACAGAAATTCATTTTGTCACAGTTCTAGAAGATGGAAGCCTGAGTATGTGAGGTCAAGTTCCTGAGTTAGGTATTTTCACAGTCTTTCTTCTCAATGTATCTTTCCTAGTCTTATGTTTTTTACCACTAGTCATATTGAATTAGGGTTCACCATAGTGTGCTACTTTAATTTTCTCATTTTTAAACTTTATCTACAAATAGTCTTATTTCAAAATATGAAAGGTTAGGACTTTGAATAGAAATTTTAGGTGGGATGTAATACAGATCATAACATAGTGTGCCAACAGGAATACAGAAAAACAGTTGGAGAGTGTGGGGTAGCAGAAACTGAAGTATCTAACTTGTGATGTCCTTGGAAGCTCCTATAGTTCTGAAGTGATGCCAAATCCCTGCTATTAAACGTTTTTAATGTGATATCCTTCCTTATATCTTGGGCAAAAGTTACATTTTCACGGCATGCTCTTACATGCCTTCTCCAGGTCAACATGCAAGGTGATCAGGGACATACAAAGACAGAAGAGTGTGAGCAAACACTGTTCTTACCTGTGAAAGAGGACAGACTTGACCAGGGTGACAACATCTCTGCTGGCATTGTATCCTGCACAGACAATGGCCACGTGGATGGTCTGAGAGAAAAGGAACAGAGAATGAACTATCATACAGAAAGAAGCAGGCCTTCCTGTCTTTTAGGTCTACAGGAGGGAAAAACCACCCCAATTTCTTGTTGGAATCAAAGTAAACAAAGGGCACTGCCTACAGCCATGGAAAATAACTTGAGATGATTTTCTTAAAGTCTTTTTAATTGGTTTATGAGGCTATCATCATTTGGAGACCATTAAGACTCTTTTCAATTACAGTTTAGAGATGGTTACAATGGTTATTGGCTCAAATAGGTAAACAATGAGTCCCCTGTCCCAAGCCAGGAGACAATGACAACTGGCAAAAGAGAATGAAATGTGCCCCCATGGACCAGCAGTCAGAGCTTCCAGACTGACAAGTTATGCTTCAGAGTATGAGCTGCTCTGCTGAAATGGCTTAGAATGGTAAAGTCAACATGAGAGCAAGCCAAAGGAACCAAGGAGCAGATTAGGGCTCCATCTGGGATACCATTCTAGGAATTAGAGCGGAATTGAGATGGGCATAACCAGTCATCTCATTTAAGCTGTTGGAGGCATTAACCACAAACATGAATCTTGACCATGTCTTGAACCCCAGGTGGCTCTGGGAAAGCTTCAGGGCCAGCCAATAACTGCAACATAAGGCACAATTATCAGTTATGTTTGGTGGCTATGCTAAAATGCCCGACTAAAGCAACTCCCATAAAAATATGTGTTTTGGCTCATGGTTTAAGTAGAGAGAACATGAAGCTGATTGCATGTGTCTTGGAGAACCATAAAGCACTTGTCTGATTTCCTTTTCTAACTTGTATTCATTCAGGTGGAACACCTAATCCATGGAGTGGCTTGACCCACACAGCAGGTATATCTTCCCTTCTTGCTTAATTCTTTCTGAAAATGACCTCAAAGATACACCCAGAGATGTACTTCCTAGTGACTCTGAGTCCAGCCCAATAGAAGATGGAGATAAACCACTAGAAGTCCATGTGCCAACCTGACACTTAAACACACTTCATATTTAAACCATAGAATTACACCTCTGGCCCTCAAGGGGTCACAGCCATGTCAGAATGTAAAATAGATTTATTTCATCTTTAAAACTGCTGTAAGTCTTAACATTTTCACCATTCTTCAAGAGTCTAGAAAGCCTCTTCTGAGAATCAAGTATTTATGAAATCAGAAAATGAATCAGACCCAGCTAACATAAAATGGTGCAGTAAACATTCTCATTTGAAAAGGGAGCAATGAAAGAAATCCAAAGACAAACTAGAATACAGCGAGAATGAAGCCAAGTAGAGGAAACAACAAAGGCAGAAGTTACTTGTCTATCAAATAGCACTCAAGATGACATTACTTAAGTACAATATGTTTGGAAACTTCGTCCTTCCAGTCCAGTTCCTTCTAGCAACTGCAGCTTCCCCTTTAAACTATCTCTATTTCATATCTGCAGCTTTTCCTGCCCCTGGTTGGGGGCATTTCCTTAATACCCTAGGATCTGTACCCCTAAATAGTTTGAATTTCACAGATGCATTACCAGCACTCATGGGCATTCCATATAAAAATATAACCCAGCAACACATTACCTCAAGCAAGTGGCTTTCTGGAGCCTTTATACAAGTCCTCATGACTCATTATTGAATTCTGCAGGTACAGTGCTGCTCTGTAACTGGATTACAAGTGACAAAAATATCCCTTTATACACTTGAAGCTGTCAGTCAGGCGGGCAATCTAGGTTGACTCTTTCCTAAGTTTAACAAGTTTTTTTAAAATTAATTTTAAATGGGGTGAGGGTGAGGAGAGAGGAGGGGAGGTGGGAGTGGAAGAAACAGGAGGAGGACCAAAGGGAGGGAAAGAGAATCTCTCTCTTACCAAAGATGGAGCTGAGCACTTGAGTGCTCCCTGTTAGCTAGATCCCTGCTTTGGGCTGGTTTTCATGTCTCCACCTTGTCACCGACTTCATTTTCATCTGCTGCACTGTACAGATATGGTCTTCTATTTTTGGCATGTTTGAACCAAGACTAATAATGAATACTCTAGTGCAGAACAACTTGAATAAAACATCACGATCTGTCGAAAAATGCAGGGTCCCTTCCTTTCCATTTTGTCCCTCCTCTTGAAGAACAGTCTTCCTTCAGTCAAAACACATCTATTAAAAGCCATTTCCAACACATTGTATCCTACGAGCATTACTGAAGGATGATCTTGCTGCCACCTAACCCATAAATTGAAGAATGGGTGCTTGACAATCTTTTTCGCTGTTACTATGATAACATACCCTAACAACTACAATTAAAGGAAGAATGGGTTTAGTTGGCTCGTAAGTCCAAGTTAATATCCATCACTGGAGGGAAGACAAGACTGCAGGAGCTGGATAGAACTAGTCATTATATCCAAAGTCAAGAACACAGAGCAATGCATTCATACATGTACACTAGTTCTCTGGCCCTCCTATATTCATACTGCCCAGAATAAGAAGCGAAGGTAACAGTGTTGCCTACAGTGTGCAGGCCTTCTTACACCAACCACAACTAATACAATCCCTCACAGACATGCGTAAAGTTCTTTCCCAGATGATTCTACATTGTGTGAAATTAACAACTAAAATCAGCCATCACAATAGCTCTTTTGGAAGCCCATGCTATCACATCACAGCTCCTCTTAAGTTCCCACCATCTTGGGCAACCCCTTCTTGGTGCTCCTCTTCTACCCTGCACATTCCACTATACACTTTGTGCAATGGCTTCAGGCTAACAGGAATTCTTCACCACCACACTTAGTATTACCATGAGAACTACATCCATCAGACACAAACCATAAACTCTTCATCAGCCTCAATCCAGTCCTGTAACCTCTGTGATCCCAATAACCTTCACTCACTCTGACCACTCCCACATCCAGAGCTAGAAGCTTAATCAGAACATCACTATCTCAGAAAGTGTATTGTCATGTGCTTGCATATACAGGATTCTTTTTTAACTTTCTTTCTTTCTTTCTTTCTTTTTTTTTTTTTTTGGTTTTTACGAGACAGGGTTTCTCTGTATTGTTTTGGAGGCTATCGGTCCAGCCCAGCCTCAAACTCACAGAGATCCGCCTGCCTCTGCCTCCCGAGTGCTGGGATTAAAGGCATGTGCCACCACCGCCCGGCTCTTTTTTAATTTTTTTCTTATTCATTGTCTCTTTAATATCAAGAACCTGGATCCCATTCATTTCCTCATCCCTTTATAGCTACCTTGTACCCTTGCAACCTCTCTGTGAAAAATTAGAAGATTAAAAAAATAGGGGAAAAAAACCTTGTCATAGAAGTTGTAGTGTGATACAGTGAGACATGCACCAAACTCTTTTATCCATATTATCTTTATTTGCAAGTGTTCATTGTGAAATGTCACTGGTCTGGTTCGAGACTTCTGGTTTCTGTTATGCTACTGCTGCAGGGCCCTCACTGGAACTCCTCTTGGATATCTGCTATTGCCTGTGTCATGGAAAGCCTACATCTTTGGGTCTGAAGGACCAACTCCTTCACGTGCTCCAGCACATCACAGATGGGTGGATATTGGGGTGCACCAACTCATAACCCTGGTTCTGAGCCTGGGGAGTTGCAGAGTTGGTCAACCTAACAACTGTTCCTTGTCCTCACCACCAGGTAGGCTCTCCAGCACTGCACTGGCAAGTGCCCCCCACCTTGTGCTATCACTTACTCAGGGCTGGCTGTCCCACACTTAATCATCAGGGTCAACTACACTATATTGTCCAGGTGGCATGCAGGGTCTGTTCTCCTGTTCTTACGACTGGGAAAGACACAACACTAATAGCAAGCACAATGAGAGCTGACATCAATCAAGAACTGACTACATCCCAGGTCTTGTGCTTCCTGCCATACATGCTTTATAACACTTAAACCTCACAGCTGACTGAGTCAAGTACAATATTTCATTTTTGTATCACAGGTAGGAAACTTGAGCAAGGAGATGGTTTGATCGTGACCTGACTCATTCCCATCCTGAACAAGGTTGCTTTGTTTAGGTGGTTGAGCCCAAGTTGGTGGCACTGCTTCAGAAAGCTGGGCAAGCTTCAGAGTGGTATTCAAATGGAGGAAGTAGATGTGTGGAAGGTTGACTTAAGGGTTATGAACCAGCTCTGTTTCTGGTCTGAGTTCTCTGTTTCCTGGATGCTCATTAGGTGTAAGGAAATGCCCCATATCCCACTGGCCCATCCATGATCTGTTCTCACAAACATGTGTCTGAAAGCATGGTGGACTAGATCCTCTAAAGTCCTGAGACAAAATAAAGCTTTCTTTCTCAAATGCCTTTTATTAGGTATTATGTCACAGTGCCAAGAAAAGTAACTAGTACATGAAATTAGGATTTTAACTGTGGAACAGAGCACCTGAAAACATACACCATGTGCCTCTGCAGAATCTCTTAAGCAATTAAAACACAGTGACTATTGTACATGATCTTCACACATTCTGTTGGAAGGCAGTGGTCTCTACATGGAGAACTTGACACAGTACCAAGATCTAAGACCTAGGAGATGTAATTGGGGGTAGGAATGTTACTGACATCTTGTAGGTAAAGCTAGGGATGGAGACATTCTGAAGTATACAAGAAACCCCTCACCCTGCCTGCCAATTAAAAACTGTTCTGAATCTAGGGTACACCATACTTTTGTTAAGGGGCCAGGGAGATAACTCAGTGTAAATTCCCAGCAAGAGAGGCTACTTCCTAAAATCCTAGACCTAAGGAGGTGGAGATCTGGAATTCCTCCAAGGTAGCTTAGCTGAATCCTCAAGTTCTGGGTTAATTGAGAAACCCTGCCACAGTAAATAATATGGAGACAGAATCAGGAAGACAGCAGACACCCATCTCCTATTTTACATACATTCACACATATTGTTAAGAGGGGCAGCTGCCTCTATTTTTCTTTTTAGTTAAACAACATTAGACTTTGAGCATGTCATTAGCAAGACATCAACATTTTTTGACTGGTTCTTCCTCAATAATGTTGTGAAA